TCTGGGTTGAGGATGAGGATTGAGAAGAAGAAGAAGAAGAAGAAGAAGAAGTAGGATGAAAATAAGATTAATTCCAAGCCGGCAAAAGTGTATCTGCAGAGCTCCTCTAAGTGTATCTGCAGAATAGAGGAACTCTGCACATACACTTTTTGCCGGCTTGGAATTATTTTATTTTCATCCTACTTCTTCTTCTTCTTCTTCTTCATCCTCATCCTCTTCTTCTTCTTCTGAGGATGAGGATGAAGAAGAAGAAGAAGAAGAAGAAGATAGGATGAAAATAAGAATTAATTAGATACAATGTTTCAACCGCTAAACATGTGTTCCTTCTGTCAGAGAACTGTCAGAAATAGCGGAGCTCACTGCAGGGACACTTTTGCCGGCTGATCGGGAAATATTCGATTCGCGCACCCGAAGTAGGCAAAATTTCGGATTCGACGCGAATCGAATATTTCCTGAAATTCGACTCGAATTCCGGTTCGCCTGGTTCGATTCGCTCATCTCTACTCCTGACAATTGTTTTACCAGACAGGAAGTAAGGGTAAATCTCTAAAATCAATACTGGCTGAAATAAATGGGGGGGGGTTCATTTTTTTTCTTCTTTTTAGCAGAGTACAGAAAGGTTTAAAACTCCTATCAATTGTTCCTGTCTGTGGCCCTATTCCAGATTTTTTCCTAATTTCCATGACAAGGATTCTAATCCTTCCCCATTCTACCAAAAACAAAAAGTACACTTTAAAAATAAACTTTAATAACTACACTTGACGTCCCTACCTTCCATCATCAGATATATCTGAAGACAGGAACTGGCCTTTATGAAATTCAAGTTTCTAATATCTGTCAGACACAGAACATCGCTACATGTCATGCTGTTCCCACAACTCTCTGCTTCTTTTTATTTCATCTTCTGCACAATTAGCTGTGATGATGAATCATTAGAAATAATAATAAGCAGTAATGGCTGTTATATAACCACAGCTCCCGCCTCCCGCACACAAATATATAAATACATACAAACAGTCACTTCTATTATGAATTTAGAAATATCTCATTATCATATTGATATATTGTAAAGATTACACATGGATTATCTCAGTTCTCTATTATTTTGATAATTATTCTGTAATGCATGCATTCTATTTTCACATGTTTGTCTTAATTTAGTTTTTTTTTGTAATGACCAGCTCTCAAATCAATGCCACGAATGGATCTACACTGGTATTTTGGCAGATAAAGTGATCTCCTGCCTGGCAGTGCCTGCATAGTTCCACAGCTAAAACCATCAGTTAGTGGAAGAGGCAGCAACGCAAGCCTCAGAGTGTCTAGTCAGGTAAATTGCCACTTAAAGTGCCTGTAAACCTCAGACATGAAATATGAAAAACGCATATCCCTCTATAGTGTGTACTTGTCTGAACACAGAGTGTCTTTTCTGTCTGCTGCTTTGCTCCTCTGCTATCAGTATGAATCACTTCTGACAAATTTTCATGACACCAAGAAAAAATGGTGACGGGGGAGGGACCTTCAGCACAGAGGTAGCTGTTTAATTAGGCAAATTAAGTGGTCGCCTAAAGCCTCGCACTCACAGGGACCTTGGGGCCACCTAATTTGCCTAACGGAGGGAGGGGAGAACCCAACATTGGGAAGAAGGATGGCTTTTCCTGCAGATGTGCGGGACTAAACTGGATGTGTCGGGACTTCTGCTAACACCAGTTGGACTACCTTCCCCTCCCATCTCTGTCACAGGCTGCATGAAGGGAGAACCAGGGTGAGTCACTGCCCTACCTTACACACATCCTACAGGTGGGCGTGGCCAGTGGAGGGAAAACCATCTCACTGGTTGGTCCGGAGACCAATGAGCTGCAGGATGCCTGGCAGGTGAATGTGTGTGGTGGTTTCACCTCGGCAATCAGGGTGCCAGTAGTGATGGCAGTTTGATGAGTTCAGGGATTGGCGTGAGTCCGATGACAGGAAGGATCCATTTTTCTGCCCACTGACACATAACCGCACTGTCAATTACCCAGCCCCAATATGCAAACAACTCCTCTTCCATGTGACCGGACTGACTCCTGGTGCCCGCCCACATCCAGAGACGGGTTATCCTGGATCACACACAGGAGCGCAGAACAAAAAGCCTCCTTTAGTCTCTCCCCCCCTCTCTCTCCCTTATCCCCCCTCTCTACCCCCCCCTCTCTCTTTTCTCTCCCCCACTCTCTCTCCCCCCTCTCCTCTCTTCCCCTTTCTCCCCACCTCTCTCGCCCCCTCTCATATTCTTCCTCCTGTTCCCCACACTCTCTCACATCTTTTCCTCTCTCTCTCTCCCTCCCTCTCTCCTCTTTCTTCCTCCCTCTCAACCTCCTCTTTCCCCTCTTTTGCCTCCCCACCTCTCTGTTTCTCCCCCTCTCTCCTCCTCTCCCTCTTTTGGCAGGGAAGAGAAATAGTGGGAGGGGGGCAGAGTTGCTGCATCATGGGCCTCTGGGTTGTACCTGCCCCCTGGGGGGTTTGCTGTGTGGGTTACAATGGAGTGCAGACTGCTATGTTCAATCACTGTGATGCAGTACTGCTTTCATGGATGTCATAGCATAGTAATGCATGTGTCCTGCATTGTTTAACTGTCTGATGACTACAAATGATATATGGCTGTGGATGATGCTTGGTGTACATTTATAGCCTAGGGCCATGATGAATAATGCATTCATACCCTAGTACACTGACCACACTGCATGACTCTGAAGCCTGGCAGGAGCAAGCAGAAAGATGCTGGCAATTCTTTAATTTTTCTCTAAACTGTTTTGCTTTTTCCTGACACTGCAGTACAAAAAAATTCATTCCACGTGAAGTAACGAACAACTATACTAACTAAAAAAAGTGTATCCAAATCAAAGTCCCAGCAAGCTAGGAATGCCCCGTACACCCACTCTGCATAACTCATGCGATCAAGAAAGGAGATGCCCAGAGCCCTCCCCACTCTTTTATACACCTCTACACCCTGTTCCAAATTATTATGCAAATTATATTTTTCTCATTTACCTAAATAATTGATGTAAATAACAGTCAGCATAATTCTCATGTTATCAACTATTAAGAGTACAATTCACATTTTATTGAACAAACCTAATGATAACAGTATTTTTGTTAAACATAAAACACTTACAATACACTGTTCCAAATTATTACGCACAGTAAGTTTCAAAACACTTTATAGGTTGTAAAGAACTGAAAATTGTCATTTGTTGTGTTTGCAGCATATTTACTGAAATCAAAAGCTATTTCAATCAAACTTTTAACAACATGTTAACTTTTTAAACATTTTAACAGGTCACATTACATTTTACCATAGGACCTCTTATTTGATAGCAGCTTCACAAGTCTTGCATCCATTGAACTTGTGAGTTTTTGGACAGTTTCTGCTTGAATTTGTTTGCAAGATGTCAGAATAGCCTCCCAGAGCTGCTGTTTGGATGTAAACTTCCTCCCACCCTCATAGATCTTTTGCTTGAGGATGCTCCAAAGGTTCTCAATAGGATTGAGGTCAGGGGGGGATGGAGGTCACACCATGACTTTCTCTCCTTTTATCCCCATAACAGCCATTGATGCAGAGGTATTCTTTGCAGCAAGAGATGGTGCATTGTCATGCATGAAGATGATTTTATTACGGAAAGCATAGTTCTTCCTTCTGTACCAGGGAAGAAAGTGGTCAGTCATAAACTCCACATACTTTGCAGAGGTCATCTTTACACCTTCGGGGGCTCTAAAGGGGGCGACCCGCTCTGTTCCCATGATTCCGGCCCAAAACATGACTCCACCACTGCCTTGCTGACGTCGCAGCCTTGTTGGAACAGGGTGGCCGTCCACCAACCATCCACTACTCTATCCATCTGGACCATCCAGGGTTGCACGGCACTCATCAGTGAACAGGACTGTTTGAAAATTAGTCTTCATGTATTTTTATGCCCAATGCAGCCATTTCTGCTTGTGAGTATTGGTTAGTGGTGGCAAATAGAAGGTTTATGCACAGTTGCAAGACTCTGGAGGACTCTACACCTTGATGTTCGTGGGACTCCAGAGGCACCAGCAGCTTCAAATATCTGTTTGCTGCTATGTAATGGTATTTTAGCAGCTGCTCTCTTGATCCGATGCATGGATCTGGCAGAAATCCTCCTCAATGTGCTTTTATCTGCACGAACCCGTCTGTGCTCTGAATCAGTCACAAATCTCTTAAAAGTGCGATGATCACGCTTAAGTTTTCGTGAAATATCTAATGTTTTCATACCTCGTCCAAAGCATTGAATTATTTCACTCTTTTAGGCAGCAGAGAGATCCTTTTTCTTCCCCATATTGCTTGAAAATGGTGCTCTGCTTAATAATGTGGAACACTGTCCTTTAGTAGTTTTTCCTTAAATTGGGCTCACCGGTCAATCTAATTATCACAGGTGTCTGAGATTGTTTTCAGTGATCAAAAGAGCCCTGACACACAATGCCATCCATGAGTTAAACTGAAAAACAAAATATTTAATCTTTGTGACACTTAAATATAATTTGCATATTAATTTGGAACGCGGTGTATGTTAACCTCTTGCCGACCGCGCATAGCCGAATGACGGCTTCACCGCGGCCGGCCAGTTCTGAGTGGACGTCATATGACGTCCTCCCAGAACGCGCTCTCCTGCGCGCCCCAGGGGGCGCGCACCCGGCGATCTCCGTGATCGCTGTGTCCTACGGACACAGCTGATCACGTGATGTGGTGAAAGGCCGGTCCCACCGGCCTTTTACCACGTGATCAGCGGTGTCCAATGACACGCTGATCACAGGGAAATGCAAGTGCCGGTTCTCGGCTGCACTTTCCTCACGCTGTCAGATCGTGAGGAAAGTACTGCCGAGAACCGGCAGTTGTCAGAGCGGGGATCGGCACCGATCATCAGGGCACTGATGATCAGTGCCCTGATGATCGGTGCCCAGGAGTGACACCCGCAAGTTCCGCCCAGCAGTGCGCCCACTAGCCCCGCCCACCCGTTCCCAGCAGTGCCCCCACCTGTGCCCAGCAGTGTGCCCAGCAGTGCCCCCACCTGTGCCCAGCAGTGCACCCACCTGTGCCACTCTGCAGTGCCACCTACCTGTGCCCAGAAGTGCCACCTACATGTGCCCAGCAGTGCCACCCACCTGTGCCCACCCACCTGTGCCCACCAGTGCCACCCACCTGTGCCCACCAGTGCCACCCACCTGTGCCCACCCACCAGTGCTGCCCACCAGTGCCACCCACCAGTGCAGCCCAGCAGTGCTGCCAGTCAGTGCCACCAGTCAGTGCCCAGGGGTTGTGCCAGTCAGTGCCGCCAGTCAGTGCCCAGAAGTGATGCCAGTCAGTGCCGTCTATCAGTACCCATCATCAGTGTCACCTATCAGTGCCGCCTATCAGTGCTGCATATCAGTGCCGCCTATCCGTGACCCCTATTTAGTGCTGTCTATCAGTGCCGCCTATCCGTGCCACCTCATTAGTACTGCCTATCAGTGCCCTTTAGTGCTGCCTATCAGTGCCCATCAGTGCCGCCTATCAGTGCCCATCAGTGCCGCCTCATCAACGCAAATCAGTGAAGGAGAAAAAATACCTGTTTGAAAAATTTTATAAAAGAAACAAATAAACTTTTTTTTTTTTCAAATTTTTTGCACATTTTTTAATTTATAGCGCAAAAAGTAAAGCGCCCAGTGGCGATTAAATACCACCAAAAGAAAGCTCTATTTGTGAGAAAAAAATGATCAAAATTTCATATGGGTACAATGTTGTATGACCGCGCAATTGTCAATCAAAGTGCGGCAGCGCTGAAAGCTGAAAATTGGCCTGGTAAGGAAGGGGGTATAAGTGCCTGGTAGGCAAGTGGTTAAAGGGACACTGGAGCAGAAAGTGGTCCATAGACTCCACTTTACCAACACACTCCGTTCTAGGACAATTCCGATCATCCACAAGGCGGTGCTTCAGGTTCCCTCTCACATAGAGCCTTCCATGGAAAGCGAGCCAGGCTTGATCCCTAAACTTCAAAGGAATTCTCTCCAAATTAATTAAACACAACCCCCCTCATTATGGAGCCTGGGCAATCCTTTAAGGCCAGTGACACACTGAGAGCAGAAGCTAAAATCCTCTCCCCCAGAAGCTTCCTGGGAAAGGACCTGATATCCTCCACTGTCACCTGCCACTATCAAAGTATTTTCAGACAAGGGGCAACATAAGCCGGGAGCTTGCCATGTCAGACTGTCAGACTTTTCACTGGCCCACCATCTCTCCAGCAACTCCAAAAAGGCTTGAACCAAGGTTGAAAAATACCCACCCATCCTGGCGGGATCTCTGCTAACATATTACCAAGATTGTACTTTAAAAAAGCTAAGAAAAGAAAACTATCGGGTTGACCATTCCTAGGCCACCCTCCTGCCTAGGTAAGTTACATTGCATTTGATCAGGTTGAGCCTATTTCCCCACAACAGTTGGAAAAAACAGCTGTAGACCCTTGCATAGAGAGATACCGGCAAGATACAGACGAAGCTGACATATAAAAAGATCGGGATCAGGTAAGTTTTAATCAAGTCAACCCTCTGCCTCAAGGAGAGCCTCCACCTCTTCCAGCTCGCTACTTTGTTATTGGAATCCACCAACCTGCTTTCCCAATTTCGTTGACCATAGTCACCAGGAGTAAATTTGATGCCCAACATTTTAATTTCCTGCTGGGGCTCTGGGAAGGCATCCAGAAGTTTGACGCATTCACCTTCCTCACCCATCCAGAAAACTTAATTCTTTTCATGGTTGACTTTAGAGCCACAAGCCTCCATGTACTGCTCTATCACAGAGACCACCTCCTGTGCCTCCTCAGTTCCAGAGATTATAACAGACACATCATCAGCATAGGCCACGGCCTTCAGAAGTGGCCCACCAGCAATGCCCAGAGGCACCCCGTACAATGATGCACCCTCTAGCCTTCTTACAAAGGGGTTGTTTGCGAAAGCATATAGCAGGAGGCTCAAAGGACATCCCTGGCGCACACCAGAGTCAATCCCAAAAGGCTGTTCGACCCAACCATTAACAAGTGGGAAGCTCTCAGCCCCTCTATATAATGTCTTCAGCCGATCTATAAACCTCCCCTGCAATCTATATCTACCGAGTAGCAACCACAGATATTCATGATTCACTCGATCAAAAGCTTTTGCCTGATCCAATGCCAGCAAGTACTTTCTCCATCCAGCAGCCCTGCATCGTTCCAAAGCCTCCCGGAAAGCCAAAACTGCTGAAAAGGTACTTCTACCTTGGACCGAACAGTGCTGATGGCTGGACAACAAATCGCCTGCTACTGTCAATAAGCGCCAAAAAAGAATCTTTGCCAAGATCTTTCTATCAACATTGATAAGACTGATGGGGCGCCACTTCTCAATCATTGAGGGGTCTTTACCTTTTGACAGAAGAATCACGGAGGGAGGGAGTGAACCCTCTTCTAGACAGCTGTTAAACACCTCTGCTAAAAAAGGAGCCAGAATGGACTTAAAACACTTGTAAAATTCAGCTACAGTATCTATCCATCTAGCCCAGGCAATTTTTTGGTAGCCAGCTTTTCTATAGCACGAACTACCTCATCCATTGAAATTGGTTCTGTCAAATTCATCAAAAGCAATTTACCATTTCCCAATCCTGGAGTAGAATCCAGAAAGCTTTCCACCCTGTCCTGGCTAACATCCTATCTTCCCAGGAGGTCTACATATTATGACCCAAAGATCTCCAAGATTACTGATCTGGACTTCATCAGGGAACCTGTACTGTCTTTCAGACCAATGACCGTCTTAACTGCTATGCCTTGCTTACAGTTCTGATAAGGATCAGGCGAGTGATATTTCCCATAATCCCTCTCCAGAACCAAAGAGGTATGCTGGCCCTATTGACATTTCCTAAGAAGAAGCATCAATCCAGAGCTCTCCCCTGGATCTTCTCCATATGAGACAAGATGATCAAGCTTCCTCTGCAAATGCTGGTAGGCAATATACATACCAAGCTGCTTATTCTTACTTATGACCTTGAAAAGTCCAATAGGCCTTTGTTTCACAAGCTCCCACCACTCTGACTTACTGCTGCAAAAGTCCAGAATAGAAACCTGTGTCTGAAAAAAATCCTCAAAGGATTGTCTTACCTCTACGTCTTCCAGGAGAGCCGAATTCAGTTTCCAGACACCCCTTCCCTTGGGTGGAGTGTCCAAGGCATTCAGAGTCACAGACAGCATAAAGTTGTCAGAGAACACCACCGCCCTCAACTCAGGAGCTGAGAAAGCAGAGTTCTCCTTTAAACAAAACCTGTCTATCCTGCTCTGACTATTCCCTCTCTGAAATGTGAAACCCATGCTGCCAGGGCAGTGCATAATGTACACGTCTTCCAGGCCTGCCTGTCTAACCATATCTCTAAGAAAAACGCTATCATAACCCAGCCTGTCTAGGGAGCCTCTCCTGTCTTTTGGCCTAATTATGGTGTTAAAGTCACCTTCAAAGACAACCTGCTGGGACGTAGAAAGGAGGGCTTGATCTTTGTGAAGAGGCATTTCCTGTCCCATTTTGACTGAGGTCCATAGATATTAATAAGGTGCAGGTCCCCCCTAACAGAGATGTCTAAGACCATGCATCTCCCCATTTCTACCTCAACTACCCTCCAGCACGTTACCATATCGGTCTTAAAAAGCACCACAACTCCGCTGCAAGGTTCAGCCGCAAGAGACCAAAAGGAGGGACCACATCTCCACTCCCTTTTTGCTAAGTAGACATTGGCCAATGTATTGAGCCAGCTCTCTTGCAAAATAAAATCTCAGCATCAAACTCAATGAACAAACATAAGACCATATCACGAGCTCTTACAGATTTAATGCTGGCGACATTAATGATCGCTACCGTTAACGGAGCGGGAACTGCCATCACGGTGATTGGGGTAGTCATTTTTTAACCTTTACCACACTCTCATCACCTGAAACAGTTCTCTTCCATATATGATAAAGAAATGGATAAATCAGACTTCATCTCATCACCTGACAAAACTGAATAGGTGTTGCCAAGAGGGACCCCTCCGGGGTCTGATTCTGAGGAAGAGAGGACAGCTCTTCTCATCCTCCTCTTCTTTTTCTTCCTCTTTGTCGTCTCCTGATCACGTTTGCGCTGTCGTGGGACAGGTACTGGATATGGAGTAGGCCGAGAGAGAAGATCCGCTAAACCTGCCCCCCCAACAGCTTCCACTAGACTGGAGGATCTACGTACAGTAGGATTAGGAACAGGAGGGACAGACTCAGGGGTGACATTACTAGGGGAAACAGTCTGACACAACAGATGGAACAGACACAAGGGGGGCAACAACAGTTTCCTCCCTAGCATCAGCTGCCTCATCTTCTTTATCCAGCCTCTGCAGCTCAGCCTCCAATCCTGGCAGGTTATGTAGTGCCTCTGGGCACTGACTATCTATAAATTGACTACCCAGCTGCTGGCACAAATTGCACCGAAGCTGGGTGCATTCTTTGGCCAAATGGCCTGAATCCTGGCACATGGTGCAGGAAGATGCAAAGTGGCCTTTCTCTCCACATTTATTACAAACCTTAAGCTGACCCTGATAGAAAATGGTCAGCCTATCCCTCCCCAGAAAAGCTGAACAGGGCAGGCTCTGAACCGCATTGCCCAGCACCCTCAATTGCAACGACACTGTCCAGACCCCTGTCCATATCCCATGGACCTTCCACAGTGGGGTGAGGACCTCGCCATATCGGCATAGCCACACTACCAAATCAGCATCTGGTATGGATTCGTTATGGACTAGGATTGTCATCGATTTTATCAAAGGCTGCCTTGAAACCACCTTTGGCACCAAACCTCTTCACTGCTGAAGGCCCCTGCACTTCCTATACCTCTCCCAAAAGAGATCCAAACCTTTAGGTTTTACAAATGACAAATCATACTCATAACTGCCAACTGGGCAGATCAAAGCAAATACATCACAGGCTTTAAACCCCATCTCCAGAATCAACTCAGCCACCCTCCCCCTTACTAGTGGGGGTCCCTCCCCTTCCCAATTCAACTGTAAAACATTCCTCCTTCTTAACCCAACTACCATCCCACCACCAAACCTCCCCAAATTGTGACCATTAGGATTTCCAACATTCCCTCCACCCCCCTTAGTGCGACTCCCAAAAACAGAGGCATAGCTCCCCAAATTCCTCCCAGCAGCAGAAACATTTGTGTGTCTGGGAGCATCTGGTACAACTCTAGCAGATACCGATTGTACAGATACGAGATTGGATGGTGAATCCTCTGTCTGCTGAGCAGGGGTAGAAATTTAATTTTTACT